GTCTCACATTTTCAACACAGAGAACATCGATGTGATCTTTCACCTGGCGGCCAAAACACACGTTGGTGAGCAGCAGCAGTCCACCTCGCATTTCTATTGAAACCCGCCTCTCATTGCCTAACTCTGTGTTCTTCTTTCCTTGTCAGAGACGTCATTCAAAGCCCCGGGTAGTTTCCAGCATGTGAACATCGAAGGGACCAGAGTTTTACTGGCAGCCGCCCATCAGGCCCCACACCAATCACAGCGCTTCGTCTACGTCAGCACTGATGAGGTGTACGGAGAGGGGCTGGATCAGGTCAGTGAGCAGGGCCTAGAAAGATGGAGAGTTTTTGGATTGATTTTAAGATTTCGATTTTTTTTTGGTGTTTGTTTTCACAGGTCTTTGATGAGAGCAGTCCAATGAGGCCCTCCAACCCGTATTCTACCACCAAAGCAGCCGCTGAGTACCTGGTCCGCTCCTACTGGGACAAATATAAGGTTAGGCACAAACAGCACAATGTGTGGAAAGGATTTATTTACATACAATATATCTGTTTGGAAATTCACTGCATTTGCTAATTCTGATAGTAGAAATAAGACATCCAGATCTATATGTTGTTCCTGACAGTTCTTTGAATATGAAATCCTGCTTTGTGTTTGTATTTCTAGTTTCCCATCATCATCACCAGGAGTAACAACATCTACGGGCCACGGCAGTACACTGAGAAGGTACTTTTGTACTTAGCTTGGAGCCATTGTGTACAATATATATATATTAAAGCACTGTTAGGTAACATGTTGTCTGTAGTACAGCGGCTTGCCTTATCTGGTTTAGTTATAAGGCTGTAAACTGTAAAGCTAAAAAACATGCTAGTAGTTCATTTGAAATGTAACATTATTTTCAAAAAGCAAAACCTCTTCTTGATCTTTCAGGTTATTCCCAAGTTCCTCACCCTCCTTCAAACGAACAAGAAATGGTAAGTTTGAACTTTACTTTGAAATAGTTTTGCAGAGAAACCAGCTTCAGTATTCATTCATAAAAAAGAAATGTATATCTAGTTTTAAATCTGAACCCCTCATTTCTCCTGCAGCACCATCCAAGGAGCCCTCCCTAAATCCCGGCACTTCCTGTTTGTCGATGACGCCATCAACGCCCTCCGGCTCGTCCTGGAGAAAGGCATTGTGGGAGAAATCTACAATGTGGGAACAAGCTGTGAGATTCCCATCATGCAACTGGCTAAGGAGCTCGTTAAAATGGTGGGTTTAGAAACTGCTGATGTAAAAACAGATAAGAGGAGGTAGCAGATGTTAAAATATCTCATCTATTGTGTTTCAGGTGAAGAACGTGCCGGACTCCGAGGTGAACGATTGGCTGGAGTTCGTACCTGACAGGTGAGCAAACTAATTAAATAATAATAATAATGGCACATCTACTTAAATACATTTTAATACTGTTCATATACTCTGTACTGCTACGTAGTCTTCATTTGTTCTCTTACTTTATTATTAATTATAGTACGCACTTTTCATGGTATTCAAAGACACTTCACATGGTAAAATTCATAGAAACAACACACTTCAAATAAATAAAACACGAGAATAATATAATAAAAACAGTGCAGTACTTTACATCCACCAGCTAAGGGAGTTTTTACCTCCTCCTACAGGCCGTGTCTCGACCTGCGATATCCAATCAGCTGTGAGAAGCTGCAGCAGCTGGGCTGGAGGGCGGACGTTTCCTGGACTGAAGGCATCAGACAGACTGGTACTGACACACACACACACACACACACTTTAACAGAGACTAACACACACACACACACACACACACACACACACACACACTCACACACACACACACACACACACACACACACACACACACACACACACACTCACACACTAACAGATAACACACACTTTAACACAGACTAACACACACACACTTTAACAGAGACTAACACACACACACACACACACTTTAACAGACTAACACACACACACACACACACACACACACACACACACTTTAACACAGACTAACACACACACACACACACACTTTAACACAGACTAACACACACACACACTTTAACACAGACTAACACACACACACACACTTTAACACACACACACCCACACACACACACACACACAGCTCCCTGATTAAAATGTGTCATTTGTGTTTTCTGTCTTTTAGTAAAATGGTACCAAGATAACGCAGACTTTTGGTCGGACCAAGAACCAATCAGGAGCAAGCTGGAAAAAGTCACAAACAAATAAGTGCTTCCCTGCTTCTTGACTGACAGGATGCAGAAAGACGAGGAGCAGTATTTCCTACAAACTACAAATGTTACATGGCTGGACAAACACTGAAGACATGAGCACACGTCAGTGTCGCTGTACACAAGAGATTATTTTTCTCAAATGTTCCTAAATGATTGTCGAACCAAAATATGCCTTACAACAGGACGCCTCTCTACAACCAAAGCAACGTGAATGCACTTTAATAACCGTCTTGTCTGAATGTATGGAGACATTTTGCAATGACACATGGTTTGTTTAAGGCTGACCAAATATTGTAGTGGAGGTGGGCTCAAAACAGGGAGGACAAGTATTACATTAAAGGTCCCGTGTCATGGCCATTTCTGCTGATCATATTTCCATTGTTGAGCCAGTTGAGGTCTACTTGAATAGATTTATATTGTGCAATTTTCCAAAATCACATTGGTTTCTCATACAGCATCTCTGTAAAGTATGTGTATTCACTCTGTCCTTAACGGCTTGTTGGAGCTCCTGCCCCCCCCCTCCTGTGAGCCCAGTGTGCTCTGATTGGTCGGGACGTTGCGAGGCTCGTTGTTGCGAGACAGGTTTCCGGGTCGGCGACACAGCGAAACTCATCCTGAGCACACAAACACTCACAGCCGAAGTAAAAACAATAAGTGTGTCTTGATATTGAGTAGAAAAAGGTTTGTAACGCTGTGAGAATGGGTCTGAAGAGAGCATTTCTCCACCATCCCAACTCGTCTATTACCAGCGTTCAGGGAGCTCTATGCAAGTCAATGGGACTTCCTGTTAGTTAGCCAAGGGGTCCTGGTGTGTGAGGGGCTCCAAGGATTGGTCCATTTGGGCCAATCCGGTCATTTGTTGTTGATCTGGGTGTTCACACGTCACAGAACCCAGGAAGCAAACAATGGAAAAAGAGAAATGTCCAACGAGGCGTTCTGGGGCAGCAGAGACAGGTCTTCTCTGTGTTAGAGTTTTACTCCCTACAGGGTGTACTTTGAGGGTTTGTGACCCTGCAGACCGTTCACATGCAGAACAACCTTCATAACAACAAGGGGACGGGTAACAACCAGAAAAGCATGACATGTGACCTTTAAATGCATTCAAGTACAAGAAATATGACTGAAAACCATCTTTTAGCAACTTAAAGAGTTCATTTAAATAAACGTTTATTTTGTAATCACAGCAGCGTGGAAAAGAAGGGAACAGCTCATCACAAATCATTCATCAAGACTTTTATAATTGTGTACAATGTATTTAACTGCCGATACACTTTTTTAAAATTTAATAACAAGGATCTTTTCTAACTAAAATACAACACTTTAAGAAAAGAAAAAGGGTCAAAACACAGTTTACATTTGCAAATCCAAACCTTTATTTGTGATAAAATCAGAATAGATGCACAATTATTTTTTTTCTCTTCGTGCAGTGCTCCTCTTCGTGCACAACTGCTAAACTAATACAGAAAGCAAATACTAACTAGCAGGCCGGGGGTGCTGAGTCCACATCGAGGGTCTGGCCAGTCAGAAATATTAAAAACACTGAGCTCTACATTTCCTTTCAATTCAGCCACTAAAACAGCAATCATTCCTAAATACAACTACACACTTTTATTTCCTTTAATAACCCTCTACATTGAACTGAAAGGGAACGAGAGCGGCACAGTGTTGCATTTGTTTCCAAGAAAGCCCAACGTTATTGTGCATAAAAGAGGCGCTTCCTTTGGGTCCCATTGCATGGTGCAGAGGGTCTTATTCTCATTTAACATGTGGATGAAGAGTCATGATGTCACATGTGTAAAAGACCCCTATCATCTTTTACCCGTTTCTGATTGGCCAGAAGCTCCCCTCCATGAGCATCAACACACAGACGCCTGAAAATATGCAAATCACAACAACATAGCAATAGAACCACAGTTAATTCTGTGTTATGAAGACTTTTAAAGATCACCACTTGCCAGACACTCACAACAAGGGTATTTACGGGAAGGAAAAGTGTAAAGACTCAAATGAACGAAAAAAAAAAACACAAATAAAATCAACATCTGACTTGGAGAGAATCTGGACACTTGTTTTTTGTACTGCATGTTTTTTTTTCTACAAAATGGTCTTTGATCGTAACGTTTTGTTAATTGTTTTATTTATTTTAATCCAAACCTTGGCATATATGGTGGTATTGTCTCAAATTTTGTTTGCCAATTAAAAAAAAATGGCTGTTTATGCTTGGTTATCATTATCGGCAATGGAGCCTGTCGCACAAACAGGTTTTTATGGATCTGATACTGAGTCCAATGAGACTTTAAAGGTAACCCGTGCAGGACGTTTCTCTAAATATGTCACATCAACTTTAGTGAGACTGTCAGCGGCTCCACGTGCACATCTTCACGTAGCGGTGCAATTAACAGAAAAGGGTTGTGGCTACAAGCTGGGTACGACTTTCAAAAGTTACTGAGGAATATGAGGAAGTACTGCCACCTCATTTCAGCACACCTGTATTAAAATAAAGGAGTTTGGTTGAAGACGAAAAGATGCGCACGCTCATGGTGTTTTGGGATTTGGCACCAGTGACAGTTTTTGCGCTGACATATTTAAAAGAGAAACTCCTACACGTTGCATCTTTAACATTTAAAAAGCTCACACTACCCCAGAAAAATAGAAATTTTCACTCATACCAATGACATTCAACATTCAAGTGCCAGTGTTTTTGTTTACTGTCTTTTGGTCAAGTCACTTTGTAAAATATCAACTTTTGTATTAGGCTTATAAAAATAAATATTTCTCAGAAATGCTTGATAAATTACACAAACTAGCAGCGAAAGTAGACTCGAGAACTCTGTGTGCAAACAGCTGATTCCTACGGTTGCTGTTAACTACAACTCCACCTGGTCCCCAAAAAAAAAAACTGTTTCATATCTGGAAGAACCTTTCTGTAAATCACACACACACACACACACACTCACACACACACACTCTCACACACACACACACACACTCTCACACACACACACACATACACACACACCTCTCACTCACACACACATAACTGTGGAGCAACCTCTCTTTTTGACACCTGTCTGCGCTACACTCACTCGCCCCTCGCACCTCTCTGAGGTTTTGGAGGGACGACAGAAGACTTCAACACTAATCTGAGTAACTGAAGTATTTTCTATAACTCGATGGGGTTCCTACAACAGAGGGGCCTTCAGGCCGCAGCAATGGGAGCGTAGCACCATTAATTGTTCAGCGACAATAGAAAGTACTCCTGCTGGAAAAAGGTCAGTATAACGCTGTATACAGTGTAACAAACTCCACTATCCGCTCCTTTAGGGCTGGGTATCGCCGGGTAAATTTAAGGCATCAAAAAAGGTTTTTAAAATATTCAAAAACTAAAGTGCTGACTTGTTCTAAATGACGACTTTTTCTCTCAGAGGAAATCACTTTTTGATTAATAAAGCTGGTGGTCAAAGCAAATGTTACATTTGGGCTTTTTTACTGTACAGGGGATGGATTTATTCACAGGATGCCACCTCAAACACTACTGAGTGGCAACAACAGATATGCTATATAGAGTAACAGCTAAATGCTAACACCAGCATGCTAACCGGCTCACAATGATGATGTAAGAAGTTTTTACTTGGTTGCCATCTTTGTTTCGGAGGCTAGTTAATGCGAATAAGACAAAGCACACATGATTTTGTTGGTAATGGCATTCGTTTTGAAGGGTATCAAACTATTGGATAATTAAATGATCTGAAGGAAACGTGTTTTATTATTTTGAACTGCTATGCTTAACAATGTCCACTAGAGGGCGAATGAGTGCGCCGACTTTCCCGTACTGCACCCGTTTCTGCATTTTTAGTATAAAATAAATAGTATGGATTCTTCATCTGACATTGAAAAAATACCCAGCCCTAAGCTAACACTTTTCAGTTTTTAGCCACTTCAAGGCACCGCACACATGTCAGACCTTCCTACGGCCAGCTTCTGCTCTAATCCTAACATGATCGCACACACACAGAAAGCGGCTCATTCAGAGAATCTCAGTGACGGCGAGGTGAAAGCAAGCAAACGATCTGCATTGCACTCACTGCAGAAGTTCAGGGGCGTTCTAACGAGGTGGGACGGGGGGGTTTTGGGGGCACAGTGGTAGTAACTCCAGCACAGTTTAATGGTAAATACAGCCAACAGATATCATCTATCCGTGCTAGAAAAAGACCTAAATACATTGCATATATATTTGCGTAATCCGAACAACACGACTTGACTGCTTTACAAACACGATGAAAAGTGAGGTAAACTGAAGTGTTACCTTCCACGCTCCCTGCTGTGCAACTCACAACATTAGCTCATATCTTACATTGTATTTCTAGCATCAGTGTCGCTGTGAAAAGCTCGGTCGCTCCTTCATTTACTCTATCTGCCCCCTAGTGGCTGCTAGAAGGCACAGCAATGTCTACACACCCAACAGATTCCTCACTGTACGTCCTTCTTTAAAAAGGTTTGCCTTTGAACTCGGCAGCAGGAACAGCGTTTAGCATCCTTAACGTTATTACTCAAACACAATAGACTGCACTAGCTGCATACTAAGTTTCTGGTTGGCAACAGCCATGGATTCAAGTAACACATCGGACTCTCACACAGGAAGTGGGGAACAATTCAGTCAAGCATTAAAACTGTTATTCAGTTAATATGTAAAGGTGGATTTTGTACCAAAATCCTATTGTGTTTATTAAACTGTAAGGTAATAGGCTTCAGTTTGGCATCCTGACCACTGAGGACACGAGTTGGATGTTAAGATTTGACAGTTTTGAAACAACTATCATCAAAAAAGCTGGTTAAGAAAACATTTACATGTAAAGGTGTCCTTAAGAATATAAAAAAAAGTGCAACTTAAAGAATTAACGTGTAAAAAAGTGAGTTTTTAAACTTAGCAAATGCTTCATATTGATTGTCATTTGCAATGTCAACTTATTGTCCCGTTTCTGATATCTTATCTTCATGCTGGTTATATATTATATTAACGGCTCTCTCTAGGATGGCGGCTATCAACCATTGCTGCAGGCAAATCAAACTGTGGTACCCACATCATGCCCACAGACAAACGCTCTGATTGGATAACGGGTGGGACGCGTCAAACACCGTTCGATCAACAATTCAACCGCTGTTTCTACTGGGACTCAATTTGAACAATAGCGACAACACAACGCTCTGTGCTGCAAAGACAATTGACCTCATGAAGTTTAAACCATAATGCAAACTCATTTCTGTATTTGGTTCCTTTCTGTTGGACATGGTGGAGTTTCATTTTTGTAATCTAACATTGCGTCCTATGACAACTTTCCTTCAACGTAGCATCCCATTAAACTGGCCCCTCATTTGAAACACTAGAATACAAAACTGGTTCAGTGAGAAATCACCAAACTCAAAGTCTGACACGAGAACCTGGTGTCTATACATCGAGAAACAATAATCTAGTTTGTATATGTGACCTGCTGTCTGCATGAATCCTCCAGCATTACTCAGCCTTAAACTCTTCACAAAACGATGTTAAAGCCAACTAGTTTCCCTAAGCTCCTCACTGACTGCACTCCAGGGAAATAGCTTGACCTGAACGCGACCTACGATTAAAAATTGGTCTTAAAATAATAGCCGACAAGAAACAAATCAAGAGTTTTAACATAACTAAAGCCTGCTGTAGAATTGTATCTATTTGCTTGGCATTTTTTTTACCTCCTTGACCAAAAAACAACAACACTTGCATATGTTTTTTTGTCCTGGTCCAGCTTTGTCATTAGTCAAAGCCAGTGGGCAATTTGAGAGATTCTGCCTCGTGAGAGTTAGCTTGTTTTCCAATTTCCAATTAGTTGGTTTTGTGTTCACCGTAAATGAAATATCTCCAAAGAATAAATGTGCCGTTCAAATTGCCCACCGAGCTAAGCTCACCAGACCGCTGCGGTCAAACGTTGAGTGATCAAACGTGATTTTTCTACACAACAAGCGAGTTTCACTTGTAATTCACATTCTTCTTCTCTTTTCTGTTTCAAGAAGAGTTGTACTATTTACATTTAATCTATTTTCACTTCGCTTAAGTTGCTCATGTAAACAAAACAAATTAAGACCCTGATGAACGTTTTCCCCACCAGGTAGCAACAGGGCTTTTTTTTTTTTGGCTTATTCTGCTGCTTATTAACAAAAAGGGAGGGGATCGGAAACCGCTGAGTCGTCTACATTTACGGCGGAGTTCCTTTTAGAAGTTCAATCAGGGACTAAAACACAGCTGAGACGAACAGGGCTAACCGTGGGCCTTGAATGCATCACAACAATAATTAGATGTTCAGTTCTGTCGTGAAGTAGCATAGCAGAAAGATGCATCTGCTGAATCAACAGAAACAAGTGGAAGCAAATCGTAGGCAGAAGCTAACATTTGTGTGGTTATTTAATAGAAGCTAAAAGGGCTAACTTGAGTACAAAGTATCTGCCGTGGAAAGCCCCGTCTGTCCCCGCTGTGAAACGGTTCGGATATATCCTTTTATCCTAAAGACCGAACAAAGAAACTGGAATGACTTATTTTAGAGAAGACTCTTCATGTAACTCTCCAGGATAGAGTGAGCGAGAACATTTTGAACTCTAAGCCTTTTTTTTTTTAAAGTTGTGTATCCCCCTTGAAAGAAGCTTTTGGCAGACAAGGGTTTTAAATGTGTGTGGTGGAAAGCGGAGCACGATTCTCAAAAGCAACGAGGCACTAAGAGTCTTTTTGTTTTTTCACCAGCAGCCGTGTTTCATTTCCATTAAATGCAGTATTCATGTCCATGCTAGGTGCGGAAAGAGTATGCCATGTGTATCTTACAATAGAAGGTTAGAAAGTGAAGTTTGACCTCACATTTTAAAACTTTTGAGTTGGTTATAAAGATCTACATGTGTGTGAATAGTAAGAAAATGACAGCTGCTTTAATGTGACTCAGCAATTAGTGACAAGATGCCTTTGAGAAACTCAAGCTCAAACCAGAGCTGTGACAAATCGCTCCGTTAGTACGACTCCCAAAAGCATAAAACCACTCTGCTTTCTGGCGGGTGAAGCAAAGAAGTGGTTTCTCTAATGTCTTCTTGAGTCACTCTGGATGAGGGTATATCAATATAAAGTGGTTATATGTGTTTGGGAGCTCATTCTCGTGAATTTGAGCTCCAATAAATAGATAAGGAATTGCTTTGAGTTTCCTCATCGCAGTTTTAGTTTTTTTTTGTTGCCAAGGTTTGATTTAGTTCAAGCCTAGTTTGTTTCCTTCCAAATATAAATAAAGAAAAACATGTTTAAACCCATACATGACATTAAATACACATTTCTTTTAGTCACAGTTGGCCAATAATTAAAACAACGGAAATAAGAGACAATTGTTTAAAAAGGCACAGTACAGAAACAAATGATCCTCCATTATGTTTTGTTTCAAACAAAAGAGACGCCGTCAGCAGTCCGGAGACTGTTAGCATCGTTGCTAATGGGCTTTTCAGAGTCCAGCCGCAGTACCTTCAGTCTGTTAGACATCTTTCTCAGATCTCTGGAAATCAAGACTTCAATATGTTTTAAAAAGGTGAAAATAAAAAACGTGTTTCTGTGGCTGCTTTTTAAAGTATCTATCATGTCAAGGAAGGAGACAGATCCCATTTTGGAATTTATATGCAGACATACTTTGCTCAGATTTGACATCTTGCCCATCTCTGCGCTATGTTTTAGAAAAGTGTTTGGCCGGTGATTTACAACATGGCCATGCGTTACATACAAAGATGACATGTGAAGGTACACAGGATGCCTGGCTGGCTTTGGGTGATGCAGACAAAAACACAATGAAGCCAAAAGTGAAAAGCTGTCTTCCTGCAGCTGCTTTGTGGGACTGTGAATCTAGAGTCTTCCAGGGGTTAAAGGAACGCCAACATATCATTCAATTGGTTATTTTTCCTTCGAGAAGGGAACATTGTTCAAACAGTCCTCACGGAAAACAAAAGGGTGCTGCTAAGCTGCAGAATAACCAACTCAAAAATCGAAGTTCCCTTTATACTGTAGCCTATTGTAAGAGGTGAGATTTACCAAAGACGAGGGACCCTAAAGACAAAGGGAAGATGGAAAGGAGGATAAAAGGAAAATAATTAAAAGATCTGAGTGTATACGGGTGGAAGGAGGGCTATATAAATGAGTATAAATAGTTTAATAACATGCACGTGGTTTTTCTTTAAGGTAAATGAGGGGGAGGAGACGGATGGGGTGCAGACAGTGGAGTGGAGAAAGGAAGGAAGAGGGGGTGAGTTAAGGAGGAACCTAGTTGCCCCACCAGTCCACTTGAGGGTGCGAGTAGTTTCCTCCGTAGCCATCGCTCGTGTAGAAGTTTCCAAAACCAGCTGAGAGGGAGGAGAGGAGAGAACTCAGAGTTAACAAGAGAGTGAGAGAGTTGTTGTTGTTCATTATAACCAGAGGTGGGAAGTAGTGGAGTACAAATACTTTGTTACGGTACTTAAGTATCTGGTATCGGTACTTTACTCCACTACTTATTTTTCTGACCACTTCTTACATGTTGAACTCAAATACCTGTACTTTCTACTTCTTACATGTTGAACACAAATACCTGTACTTTCTACTTCTTACATGTTGAACTCAAATACCTGTACTTTCTACTTCTCTCATTTTCCAAGGCACACG